CGGCCGCGTCGTGGGCGGGACCTGACTCGGGGTGGGGCGATCCGAGGGCGGGGCCTGCCTCGGTGGGCGGGGTCTGGGCTAGGGTTGGTCCTTGCGTGTCTTCGCTCCTTCCAGGGACCCGGGTGAGGCCAGTGAAGTTGTCTCCTCCTCGGAAGCGGAATTTACAGGGCGCCAGTAAAGCCCGTCATCGTGATGACAAATAATGTATTGTTTTTTTTTTTAATTGGCAGATTGGGGACTCCGGACTGGCTGCCTGTTGTCTTAAGTTTATATATGTATTCCATCAGTAAGGGAGACGAGACGGGAAGAGAGGGCCTCCGAGACAGAGGACGGGGTCCTGAAGCCTCGATCCACCCCCACCAGCCCCGGGTCATGTGCACACGAGGTCTCCAGATTTGAACTAGCAACTGTCGCACGTGCTCTGCCTGCAGAGTACCAGGCCTCCCTGCTGCCTGCTTTTGTATACAAAGTCTATTCAAATCAGGGTCCAGGGAGAGGAGGAGAGCCGCACCTGCAGGGTCCCAGCCTGTGGTCTCGAACCCTTAACGGGAGACCTTCCTGTTATTCCTTCCTTTATTTTGCTGTAGGACCAGACAGACGGGGGGGTTCCCCTGGGGATGGCCACCCTGCAGCGGCAGTCCCTTCTCCCTGTCCCCTTGCCCTGGGAATTTTGGGCACACACGCACATCCGCCAAGTCTGGGACTGGAACTGCAGTTGGCCACGTGGTACCGCCGCACGGCCCGGGCTGGCCCGCGTTCTCTCCCTCTTCATCTTTCTAATTTTCTATGGCGCGCATGCATTTGCCAGAGAGAGACAAACAAGGAGAGGAAGAGGGAAGGTGGGAGAGTGCCCCTTCCCCAGGGAGCCGCTTCGGAATCTCATCTTCCACTCACCACCGCACCTCCCTGGGCCTGCTGAGGGGCGAAGGCCGCAATAATCAGGCTCCTTCCCATTCCCCTAGCCCTCTTTCTCCAGCCTCCTGCCTGCAGCCCCCTCCTACCCAGCTCCCTCAGCTCTGAGCTGCACAGGGGCCCAGCACCTGTCTGGGACAGTCAACCCCGCCCCGCAGGGACAATGGGGACAGCACCAAGGGGAGATGAGATGGGCCAGGAGCTGGCCTGGCCGTGGGGCTCAGTTCCCCACCCGAGTGTGGCTGCCCGTCCCCTCCGGGAGTTCCCGTCTCCCACCAGGAACGCCTTCCCCCAGATGGCCACGGCCTTGCTCAAAGAGCCCTCCCTGACTGCCACACACCGGCCGCACGCCCGCCACCCCCCACCCCCCGTCTGCACCACGGGCACACTGGCGCCCTGGTCATTCCGTCTCTC